CTTAATCGATTTATATGAAGAAAAACAACAACCAATATTTCTGATGAAAAAAAAAATAAAAACTTATAACATAATGAGGAAATTTTGTCAACCAAATCTAGTCCCGTGTTACCTCACCTAGAGAGAAGCAACCTCATTCTTCAAAAACGTATGTGTTCTTCACTATATTGCTCCAAAAGACAACCCTACATACAGATGTAATAAAAAATATGTCGCATGTTAAGAATCTTGAGGTCACCACCCCAAAAGCTAGTTCAAAGGGTGGAAGTGCCCAAGGCCTTATAAACATCACATTAGTTGTCCATACAACCAATGTGAGACTATATTTCTCAACACGCCCCCTCACACGAGAGCACTCAGGGTTTGAAGGGTGAACAACATACAAGCCAGAAAGTGGGAGGCGGTGAGATTTCGAACGCTCTGATACCATGTTAAGAACCTTGAGGTCACCACCCCAAAAACTAGCTCAAAGGGTAGGAGTGCCCAAGGCCTTATAAACCTCACATTAGTTGCCCATACAACTAATGTGGAACTATATTTCTCAACATCAGAAATTTAATAACACCACGAAAACTCAATGTAACACCACGAAACCTCAATAATGTAACACAAACAATTTCACAAACCCTATTGAATTGATGCAAACATAAATACGTATTAGTATAAAAAAATGAAAATGAATTCATAGTGTTTATTAATAAAGAAACCAAAAATTATACCAATACAACAGTCCCTACACACATGAACGAAAAAAAAAACAGCAGGCAAGACAAAAAGAAGAAGCAACACTTCCTTATTTATACAAAAAAAAATTAGATACAAAAATTTCACATAAATAGATAACGTGAAATTTTAACCCGATAGTATCCACTCATACAACAAAATAAATTAGCCCAAGATATTAAGAAGCAAACCTCAATCATAAATTCAGAGGATTATTATTAGCACCGAATTCTGTGCAAATGCCAAAGATAAAGTCATCAAATCGCACATGCACATAACCTTGAGAAACTTAGAATTACTAAACATGCATTCTAGAAACTAACTTCGATGGACCAACATATATCTAAAGTAACACTGTAACCAAGCATGGCAATACGGTGAAATATAAAGAATTGTGTAGCTCTTTCAACAATATTAATTAAACATATATATATATATATATATATATATATATATATATATATATAGGGACAAGATCATCTTACACCGGTGTAAGAATAATAAATCTTACACCAAATCTTAATCATTGATTTTCTACATCTAACGGTTAAGATTTATTAGGTCTCACTCATTAATTAATTTTTTAATTCCCAATAAATCTCAACCATTGGATGCACGGAAATCAATTTTTAAGATTTGGTGTAAGATTTATTATTCTTACACCGGTGTAAGTTGATCATATCCCATATATATATATATATATATATGGGGCAGGATCATCTTACACCGGTGTAAGAATAAAAAGTCTTACACCAAATCTTAACCATTGATTTTGTGCATCTAACGGTTAAAATTTATTAGATTCCACTCATTAATTAATTTTTAATTCCCAATAAATCTCAACCATTAGATGCACGGAAATCAACGGTTAAGATTTGGTGTAAAATTTATTATTCTTACACCGGTGTAAGTTGATCCTATCCCTATATATATATATATATATATATATATGTATGAAGCAGAAGAATTAATGGAAATATTCGACTTAAAAATTCTCTCTGATGACAAATGAGCCTAATAGCACATCATCAGAAATAGACAAAGAAAAGCAAGAAGTAATAAGTTTAAACTTAAAATGCTCAGGAAAAAATAGTTTGAAGTAGAAAGCTATACATCTTAACAAGTATAGATGAGAAGCTAATTCGTTTGCTAATTAATAATATAAATAAAACATATTTTTAGAAAATAATCGTATTCATAGTTCAAATATAAAAAAAATCAATAAATCAGAGTTCCCAACTTTGAATGTACACAGATGCAATAAGATTGTGATATTGCAAATAACTGAGCAAAATGGTAACCCGATTGTATACAAATTTAGTAATTATATAGCACTTTACGGCAAGATGCTGTATTGTGACTGGATTAATGCCACATTACTTGGTGTAAGTGGGGCATACGCGTATTTGGCATAGGATACGTAGCCCTTTAAACAATCCAAAATTGGAGTGGTGAAGGATGAAAATACTGGAATAGAGAACATAGTTGATAACAGCAGGACATATAGTCGAGATTGCAGCAACATATACGCGTATGTTGCTGAGGTTCGGCTCAGACATAAAGCAACGAAGGAATTTGCAAACTATGGAATTATTTCAAGCGTTGCGGGGGAACGAATTAATATTAATCAAGCAGTGACTAATCGCGGGTGGGTGTGTTGTGGTCTTGTGGACTTGGGATCAGCAGTTTCACGTACACTTAATCAAGGGTGCATGTGATGAACTAATCAAAAAATTAATGATTTCCTTTTCAAAGCATCGAGAATTCAGGAGAGAAACCGTCATAGATAATTTGTGTTATAGAAGGGAGAGAGTACGAAAGTACAACTTCTTACTCAGTGTCACCTACTTTGAAGGTGCTCAACTGGATTTGAGTCCTGAATGCTGCGTTTTTTTATAGGGTGGTGGATAGTGGCAAAAGAATGCTTCTGTTTGCTGATTTTGCCTGATAAATTTTTTTAACATTTTCGGGCTTATCATCAAGTCAATTTCAAGTTTATATATGATACCAGGTTAAAAAAGATACAATTCGGCCCAGTGCCAAAAATGGCTGATTTCGTATAGGACTGACATCAAAGTATCAAACTTTATTTTAAAAGAAGTGTGTCAAACTTGTGATAGATTATATTTATAAACTTTTTATTTACAAACCCTTACAAATTATTTTATGTACCCCAAGAGTATAATCTCAGGTGAATATACTACCCGAAGTATATAGTATAATTTGTAATAGTTTCTAAAGAATAAATTTGTATACATAACCCTCAGTGTCAAATTTTATCAATAAAATATGAAAATGCAGTTTGATTAAGCCCAAAATACTGCTTGCCAACTTTATATCCTGTTTCCTGGTATTTAAATTTTTGTTTAAAACTGGGTATGGGTAGTTTTCATTCTTCTTTCAACACATAATTCACATGGATAAAATTACAATAATTTTTACCTTCTTGTCCACCTGCATAAAGAACTTCAAAGTATGCACGAAAGAATTATTATTATTTACATGATACATCCACTATTCATACATAACTATAACTTGATTTTGTAGTTCACCAGCACGTAACCTGCTCCTCAGCATCCAAAGATGCTTTTTTCTGAGAGGAAAAATTATTTTCAAACGTTTTTAAAAGTACAATCTAAAAGAAATAACAAATGAGACTGAGTATGTGATTCCAGCTCTGTTGAATTTTTAGAAAGCTCCAAGAACAATAAAAGTGTAGTAATGACATTTACTACCCTTAATCGATTTATATGAAGAAAAACAACAACCAATATTTCTGATGAAAAAAAAAATAAAAACTTATAACATAATGAGGAAATTTTGTCAACCAAATCTAGTCCCGTGTCACCTCACCTAGAGAGAAGCAACCTCATTCTGCAAAAACGTATGTGTTTTTCACTATATTGCTCCAAAAGACAACCCTACATACAGATGTAATAAAAAATATGTCGCATGTTAAGAATCTTGAGGTCACCACCCCAAAAGCTAGTTCAAAGGGTGGAAGTGCCCAAGGCCTTATAAACATCACATTAGTTGTCCATACAACCAAGTGAGATTATATTTCTCAACACGCCCCCTCACACGAGAGCACTCAGGGTTTGAAGGGTGAACAACATACAAGCCAGAAAGTGGGAGGCGGTGAGATTTCGAACGCTCTGATACCATGTTAAGAACCTTGAGGTCACCACCCCAAAAACTAGCTCAAAGGGTAGGAGTGCCCAAGGCCTTATAAACCTCACATTAGTTGCCCATACAACTAATGTGGAACTATATTTCTCAACATCAGAAATTTAATAACACCACGAAAACTCAATGTAACACCACGAAACCTCAATAATGTAACACAAACAATTTCACAAACCCTATTGAATTGATGCAAACATAAATACGTATTAGTATAAAAAAATGAAAATGAATTCATAGTGTTTATTAATAAAGAAACCAAAAATTATACCAATACAACAGTCCCTACACACATGAACGAAAAAAAAAACAGCAGGCAAGACAAAAAGAAGAAGCAACACTTCCTTATTTATACAAAAAATCAATGCATTATTTGAGAAGTATCATTCAATTGAATAAAGGTCTTTCTTGAACGCGGCAAAATGAATAGGCCCAACATTTTCTAATGCAGAAGTCGTGGGATTTTGTTGTATTCAAAAAGTGAATTGCAATAAAAGTTGCGCTATTTTCACAAAAAAGAATTAATAACAATTCTAATTTAAAATGTTTCTGTAAGAGAAAAAAATTTAAGTTTATGTAGTGTGAATACAAAGTGGAGAAGCATGAGAAAGTGACACGTCATTAAACTTGTCAACAAATGGTTTTGCTTTAGAATATATATAAATAAATATTTTATTCTTTTCCATAAAACCTGTTTTTTAAAATGATTTTAAAATCAAGCTATTTTTTTATTTTTTAGAAACCAAATAATTTAATTAGATATGGCTATGAGCCTAAAACACAGAGAGTAACATTGATGTAGGTGGAGCCAAAATAGCTTTGTCGTACCTTCGATGACGTAACACTTTAAACAATTCAAAGTTGAAGAATGGAATTATTCGAATTGAACATTAATCTCGGTATGCCTCACTAATAGTATATATGCACATCTATAGAACAGAGCGGAGCATTCATGGCAGAAGAAGACGTCGTAGAATTAATTAATGTAGGTTGATCCCATTTAATTAATTATAGCTTCATAATGTTATGTCCCAAGCTCATCATCAACTATAAAAAGAGCTAATGAAACTCAAATTTATTCACAGACCTACCTAATGGCTTCCATATCTTCAATGATGTGTATGATTTTTCTCTCATTGTTGTCATGCCAAATCTTAGCTTCCCAGAGTAGCTCTAATGGCTTGTCACTAGAGCTGATCCACCCATATACTCTAATTAAATCACCTCCATCATCAATTCATAATCTTTCCAACGGTTCAGATGCTTTGCAGCCAGACGCAATCACTCCACCCATTGTACCAAAATACAACGCATTCATGCTTGTGAAGGTTGGTATTGGCACCTTCACAGGGAATCCCTCTTACATGTCGTACTTGTTGGTGTTGGATACTGGCTCTTCCCTCACATGGGTTCAATGTGAGGGTTGTGCTCATAAAAGTAAAAGATCAGATAGGCGGCATTGCTACCCTCAAAAGAATAAATTATTTTCAAATTCCACGTCTAAATCTTACCGCGATCTCCTTGACGACAAGTATAAGAAGCAGGTGCCCTATACAATAACGTACGCTGATGGTGACAATTCTACAGGCGTTCTTGCGATTGAGACTTTCACTTTCCCAACTGGTTCTAGTTCATCTTCCCGCGTTGAATCCGTTAAGGACGTAACTTTCGGGTGTGGTCTTAACAATTGGGACCGGAATGGTGATGATCGGTTTAAAAGAATATATGTTGTTGCAGGGGCATTTGGCTTAGGAATCTATGATGGTTATGGAAAATATTCTATCTGGAAGAAACTAGAGCCTATAAGTGGTGGAAGATTCTCATACTGTTTCGTAGGTTACGTGGAGAAACCCACACCTATGTATCTTAGGTTTGGCTCAGAGATAAAGCCACCGGCAAATTTGAGAACCACGAAATTCTTGAAAAGTAATTATCATGGTTACCGTGTGGCTTTGGAAGGTCTCGGCTTTGAAGGGAAGCGACTGGATATTGATCCAAAGGTGTTTGCTCCCGCTCCCAGTGATGAAAAGCCGGGTGGGTGTGTAATAGACTCAGGTAGTACTATGTCATACATAATCAAGGATGCATATGAAAAACTTGAAGAGAAAGTGAGGTCACACTTCTCAAGTCTTAAAGAATTCATCAGTTATGTTGATAACGATGGTTGTTTGTGTTATACAAGGTATCAAGTAAAAGGCTACACCAAAAATTTTACCCACGGTCACTTTCTATTTTAAAGGTGCTCAGCTGGATGTACATCCTGAAGGCGTTTTCCTTAGGGAAGTAGATAACCAAAAGAAACCACCCGAAGAAACCTTCTGTCTCATGATTCAATCAGATGACAAATCTACCATTTTAGGTAATTTTCAGCAGGTAAATGTCAAGTTCATTTACGATACCAAAAAGCAGGAGCTGCAGTTCGGGCCCGAAGATTGTGCCCAAAACGGTTGATCTAATATATAAAGTATTGTAAGCCGTATCAATAAAGTGCCATCTGAATGGACAGAATAAAATGAATATGTGTTGTTTTACATATATATTTATTTCCGGGCTTTCTTTATCACTACTTACTTAGAGAATTGACTCACGGATAGTCAAATAACATTTCCCTGTTATTTTCTTATATATGGAGGAACGTAACTGAGTGTCCTAGACGATAAGCAAGGATCAAAAGTTGGAAAACTATTTACCCGATGAGCGAATTAATCATCATTCTTCAGTACTTTATTATTTAATTGTACATTTGGAAATATATTAATGATTTAATACTTTACTATTGATTGAAAGTAATACTTTATTGGTATATATATATATATATATATATATATATATATATATATATATATATATATATATATAGGTTCAGGATCATTTTACATCAGTGTAAGTTACACTCTCAATCTTGTCTGTTGATCCCACTTATATTCAAGAGCTCTATTTTTTTAGTAATTTGAGCCATTAGATTCAAGTGGATCAATGGTTAAGATTGAGTGTAAGACTTCTAACTCTTACACCGGTGTAAGAATATCATGCCCCATATATATATATATATATATATATATATATATATATATATATATATATATATATATATATATTAGTACAATATTGGTATATTTTCTACATGTAAATGATTTGCATCTATGTATTTATAAAATAAATCTTTTGAATATAATATTAAAATTAATGTTATCAAATTTCAAATCTTAATCGACATCTATTTATTAAATTTTAATTGTATTTACTCAGTTTAATTTAATAATTACTTTATTTTATCAGTATTTTTTTAATTTATTAGTTTTGTAGTTATATTAAAAATCATCTGTAATATAAAATTAAACTCTTTGAGTTAAAATTAATTTCGTATAACGATATGATTATATTATTGGGTTGAACCACTGACTAGTCGCCATGCAAATTCCATTTAAATGCAAAATTTATTGAAATTAAAGGAATAGTAATTTAAAAGTCTCCGTAAATGTCAGAAATCATATCGTGAAAGGAATTTTAAAAGACTGATTAAAGAATCAGACATAACAACACATCATAAAATACCATTTATTAATCAATTAATTTTTCACCAAAACTCAATTAGAATTTAAAGGAGAAAAGTATAGATTCCACAAAAAAAAATTTATAAAAATTTAAATATATTTCACGTGTGTGTGTGTGTATATATATATATATATATATATATATATATATATATATATATATCTTTTTTTTCGCTGCAAAAATATTAAATATTGTACTTTTTTCTAACATATCAGAAAATAGTGGGAAAGATACATAGAAAGCTACTCACATTCTTTAAGTAATGATTTCTAGTTATTAATTCACGATATAGGAAATTATGTTAAATATTGCCCTTTTGACTTTTCATCTTTACCAATTGATTGTCGTCAAAATCTTTTGATATTCTCCAAAACCAATTAGTAAAATAAATTTTTTGTTTGTACCAAAAAGAAATCAAATGTTTGTTTGTACTTTATAAAAAAACCACTCCTTCCTAAAAATAAATAAATAAAATCGTTAATTTTTTTAAATAAAATCCAAAATTCCAATTATCGTATACTCCAATTCATTATCCAAACTAATTTAAATTTGGAAATTAAATGAAAAAATAAGAATTGAGATATTTATACTTTAAAAGAAAATTAATTAAAAATTTGACTTAAAATATAATTAAAAAAAGAAAAAATTCGTACGAGTATTTTTTTTAAAATTTAACGTAAACGTTTTAAATTTGTATGTATAATCAATTTAAAAAAATATCAAATTATAAATAATAAGATAAAAAAATTAATTTTTCAAAAATATGTATAATTAATATAAAAGAATTTAAATTTTAAATTTTGATAAAAAAATAAAAAAATGGCATATATGATTCTGTAAAAAATAAATTATTAAAATTTAATCACTATAAAAATGAATGACCATTTATTGACCAGTGACCATACAGTTCTTGCATCGCAAAAAGATATTTGCAATTAAATTTTTTACAGACTATTTTAATGTTTGCCATTACTTTCTTCATGAGAAATTGTTAAGCCTATTAATAATATTTATTAGAAAAAACTTCATTTTCACCCACTGTGATTTTGTGATTTATCATTTGAACCCCTGCGGTTTTAAAGTTATCACTTAGACCTACTGTGCTGGGATATTTTATCATTTAACCCCATATGGTTTCAAATTTCACTTGGACCCCTTGTGATTACAAAAATTTTCACTTAGACACTTGTGGTTTAAAAAATAAATATTTTTAAAAATATATTTTCTCTCTTTTTTTATTTTATATCCTCATGTAATGTATTTATGGTTTAAAAAATATTTCAAATTATTTATTCTGAAATTAATTTATAAATTATCTTATTTTTAAATATATTTGAAATTTAAAATATTATTTAAGATAAATTAAATGTGTATTATCAAAATAAGATATTTACTTTCTTTAGATAATTTTATAACGATAGGGTAAAAATAGATAAAATAAAATAATATTCGATTTGAATTGAATTGAATTTATTTTCTTGATAAAAATAAGTGAATTTTTAAAAAAAATCATTTTATTTTTTAATCTTAAATGCAAAAGAAATGTGTATTCCATACAAAAGAAACATGATGGTGGAATGAAGATGTGCAAGAGGCAATTAAACAAAAGAATGAATGCTTTAGATCTTTGCATAAAAGTCCCAATTGCTGCTTATGAAGCCTCTGAGGAAAAGGAGGTGGTGGTCTACTTGCTTTGTCAGCAGGCTGACTATGTTGCTTCTTTGCTGTAGCATTCTGTTCTGGATTTTTGGTCTGATTGTCAACCTGTTGCTCTCCCACATCTTCTTCCACAACAACCTTCTCTCTTGCATTCTGGCCCTCTAACTCCTTCATCTTGTGGTAGTCTTTAATATGGTCTGGTTCATCTACTGCCTTTCCACTCCTCAATGCTATAGCCTTGATCTGCTCACTTCCTTCTCTTCTTGGATTTTCAGTGTTGCTAGGCAGTGTGCCTATAGGACTACTTCTCATGGCATCAGCTAACTGCCCTACTTGATTCTCCAAGTTCTTTATTGATGCTGATTGACTCTGAACAATGGCATGATTCCTTGCCATGAAGTCCTTCAGCATATTCTCCAACGAACTAGAGTTATCAGATTGCTGTCTAGTTTGTTGGTGCTGTTGTTGGAATGGTGGCCTTTGCATCTGCTGTGCTGGAGCATAGCTTTATCCTTGCTGTTGCCCTTGAGAATAAGGAAAGTTGTTATTATTCCTTCATCTTTGATTGTAGGAATTTGAATATTGATTTTTCCTGTTATAATTTCCTACAAGAAACACATATCGAGGATTTTGAGGGCAATTGTAAGAACCCGCACCGTTAATTAAGGAATTTAATTGATTAATTATGTAAATTAGGAAATGATTTCATAATTGACCCTAATAATTATTATGAGGATTTAATAATTATAATTAGTGAGTAATAATGCTGAAAGTCGCTTTTCGGAAGAAAAATGCAGATGCTGGTTATGCTAGTCGGTATAAATGTGTACCGGAAAAGTATCCCGGAAAATTATGAAAAATGATTATGTATTATGGGAATCATATATAGGACTTGTGAAACAATTTTCAAGTTAAAATAATGAGAATTGGTGTCTGAACTGATACCGGCTTGGTAAAAGTGCGTACCAGAAAGGTGCTCCGAAAAATAAAATAAAAATATGAAAAATCTTAGAAAAATGAGTAGATTCAGATTCCAAAGTTTGGGATTAAAATACTAAGCGTAGCAATTAAAGTTAATATTGTGTGTTAATTGGTTAAGTGACTATATAAGCCTTAGTTGGCGCTCAACCCTAGGTGCCACTCATTTGCTACGTGACTTGGAGGCTAACCAGTTTCTCCTTGCTCTATTCCATGGCTACTTCATCCTTTTTGTGAGCCTTGTGAACCCTTTTCTTCCTTTTCTCTTCACTAAACACTTGGTGCTTGTGAGAAAGATCCTTGTGAGAGTGGGAGTGAGCTGTGTTCTTGTTGTTCAGCCACTGTTTGAGTTGTTGAGGGGGGCTGACTTACTTGGTGGGTTGTGGGAGCCTTGGTCTTGGTATTTTGAGGTGCAAGAAGAAGCCTTCTTTGTGAAGAAAGGGCATAGCTTGTGTTGCCATTTTCGTTCTTGCGTAAAGTCAGAACATTTGGAGTTGTTGTGAGCTCCAAGAGCAACCCTTTGCCTCTTTTTGAAGCCTTGGGTATGTTCCTTACCTTGATCATGAGTTTTAATGGTTTAAAGGTGATGTCTTTGCATGTTAATGGGTTAAACAAGTAACCAACTGGTATGTAAACCTAAGAGGGTATAAAAATGCATGTTTTAACGTGTTTAAGTGTTAAAAATGGAACCTTGGAAGGATATCTTCGCGAAATGCAAAAACTGCATTCTGTTGCGAAATATTCAGATATTTGCCCGTGAAATATCCGGATATTGATATCCGGATATGGATATCCGGATATTGATATCCGAATATGGGGATCTGGATATCCGAATATTGATATCCGGATATTGCCTGTGAGATATCCGGATATTGAATATCCGGATATGCCCCCGAGGAATATCCGGATATTCTGGGATTTCGAAGAACAATAGCTGTACTATTCATACAGTAGGCTATTGGGGGTTTGTGGACCCTAGATTTTTGAATTTGAACTTCTGTAATTAATGAACTAAGTCAGAATCAAGTGATTAAGGGCTTATGGCTTGGTATGGAGCCTTAAGACGTAAAGCGTAAAGTAAAAGCGTTGTCTATAAGTTGTATGCTTGTGGTGCATAATTATTAATATAGTATTGGTCCATAACAGATTGTGTTTCTGCTGTGTTTGGACTTTGAGCCTGTGGACTCTTGGTATTGGATAGCTAGTTTACAAGGTAAGCTTTCGTGTCCTTGGTTTAGCCATGTTGTGGTTCCACCATG